TTTATGTATTCCACATTTTAATTGTAGAAAAATATGAAGAAGAAATAGGTAGGTAGTGCCAAATGCCCCACTCTTATATGAAAAAATGAATTATAAGGGCATCTGGAAGGCCATGTCTAGGAGTTCTTATGTTAAAAATAAGTGATTAAAAATTAAAAACAAATGCTTATTCGAATAAGCACTTATTTGCATTTGGCACCTAGCTTTCTTCAAGTGCTCATTTTAAAAAAATAAGCATTTATTTTATATTGGGTGTTTTGTTGTCTTTTTTTTTCTAATAAACACTTAAATAAGCACTTGTGACTCTTTTGTCCTTCATTTTATTTCAAAATTTCAAAATATCCAATCCAAAGTGAATGAATAAAAGTACATCGATATAAGTGCTTGTGTAAAAGTGCTTTTGTAAAAGTACTTTTATAAGAGTACTTTTGTAAAAGTGCTCTTATAAAAGTACTTTCGTAAAAGTGCTCTTATAAAAGTACTTTCGTACAAGTGCTCTTATAAAAGTACTTTGATAAAATTACTTTTACAAAAGTGCTTTTGTAAAAGTAAGTACTTTCATAAAAGTGTTTTCGTAGTACTTTTATAAAAGTTTTTCATAAAAGTACTTTTATAAAAGTTCTTTCATAAAAGTACTTTTATAAAAGTTCTTTCGTAAAAGTGTTTTCATAAAAATGCTTTCATAAAAGTACTTTGTTTCTTAAAAGTAACAATATTGTTGTTAAAAGTAACAGTATTGAAATGGTATAATTGGTATTCTAAAAATTTTTGGGGGATAATTCTTGGAGAAAAATTTTGAATAAGTACTTATTGTATGAGCACTTAAAAAAACTGTAAATTTGGGCTTAAAAAATAAGCCCTTATTTTTAAAATAAACACTTATTTCAGGCTTATTTCCCAAACACCAATAAGTGCTTAATGATCTGATCCCAACCCAAATAAGCACTTATTTTTAAGCACTCCCAAACATGACTTTAATTTGAATTTAGTTATACCTCCTCAGGTCTCACTTTTTTCTCTATCTTGGAACTTTGCATTACTTCACTATTCTCAATATATATATATATATATATATATAAACTAAATTAGAAACATGCCACCTCATCACACCCTTCTCCCTCTCTCATTTTGACATTTCAACATGCCTGGTCCGTCCCTTTTTCCTCTATGTTTACCCCTTTGGATATCCCTTCCTAAAACTATTCCTAAAATCTCTCTCTACAAAATCTAATCTAATCTAGCCAAGTGGCACCTCTATCCCCCACTTTTCATCTATATTTATCAAAAGAAAGTTTGAATTAAAAAAATTAAGAATTATTTAGATATTATAATGAAATTATGTAATGAAATTTATAACAAAATTATCTACTAACAATATAAATTATAATTTTATGAATTATTCAAATAATAAAAATTAAAAATTAAAAAATATTATTTAAAATTTTCAATAACTAAATAGTATAAATAACAAAATACTAAAAATAGATAAATTTTATATAAAAAATATTTAATATTATGTAATAACTTTAAAATAAATAAAATTTAAATAATGAAAATTTAAAAAAAATGAAATATTTAACATAACTAAATTTTAAATCGTTAAAATAACGAAATTATGTAATAAACTTAAAAATTTTATTAAAAGTAGAAAATCATTATAATAGATTTCATAATATTTGAATTAATAATAATTTTATATTTTACAAAATTAATAGTATAACTTATAATTCTATGGATTATGAAATTCAATAAATAAGTAATATTGAAATAAATAAATAATGATATTATTTAAGTAGATAAATAATATTGTAAATAAATAATTTTAAATATTAAAAAAATTAATAACTAAATAATATTTTAATTATTATTTAAAAAACAAATAAAATATATTACATAGAGAAATTATGTAATAGCCTTAAAAATTGTATCAAAAGCACAAAAACAATTATAATAGATTTAATTATATTTGATAATCTTGTCGGGTTGGTTTGGTTTTTTATCGATTTACAAATGGGTAAACCGAAATTGACCCGACCTGGTTAGGTTGGGAAATTGTTGAACCAAAATCCACCAGAAATACTAAAATTTTGACCAACTCGAGTCGAGTTGGGTCGTGTTGGTTGGTTTCACCGATTTGATGAACAACCTAGCTGAAATTAACTATATTGTTATTTTTGTATTATAAAAAATTATTAAAGTAGTATATAAAATATAACTAATTATTAATTATTTAAATGTTAAATTATAAAACAATTGCCTACTCTTACGTGATTTTATTGTCTAGCCTTCGCTTAACAAAGCATATGCATCACACARGTCCCTGCTAGGTGCAACTTGAGTGGGTTGGGTTGGGTTGATGGTCAATCCAATCTTAAGTCTCAAACCTGAGTGGCTATTGGGGGCCAACAACCTTTTCTGTTGAGAGAGTTTCTGGGTTGGGCACGTTACCATAAGAGTGGGCAAATTAATAATTGCCTTTTTGAGTAAAAACAAAAGCATTGGCGTGAATTTCCATGAACGTGCCCAACCCAGAAACTCTCTCAATAGGAAAGGTTGTTGGCCCCCAACAACCAAAGTTAACTCGAGTTTACCAACCTAAGCCCAACTCAACCTTAACTAAGCATCGGCTTAGGGGTGGAAATTTCTATCCTACTTGGTGATACCCAACTATCTACCCCTACCTAGCTCGACGGGGCGGGATTTTTTGTTTGAACGATAGGTTTTGGGCAAGGATTGAAATATTGATATGATACGTCTGATACAGGGATACGCTATGACCGGAGATGTATCTTTCCAGTCATGCATATCAGGTCAATACGGGTGTGTATCAGTTCGTATTACACTATATCGGCYGATAGACCCGATACATATCGATACAGACTGATATAGAACGATGCACTACCATCGAGACGCGGATGTGCATGCGCATACTCTTTTATTAAAAAAGAAAGTTGGAAGGATTCAAACCCGCATCAAGAGCTAAAGGAGCGGTTAACATCTACACCTGTAAGCCACTAGGCCACTCCATCTTTTGTGTTCATGAATAAATGAATATAGCTTTTATTTCTTTATTACTTAAATGCAGTTCAAATAAATAATACATATTACAGTTAACTCCAACTAAAAAATTAAAAAAGTAATATTTAAAATCAGTATATTATAAAATAATAGAAATAAATAATATATCAAATCCACATTTATATCAAAATATTATTTGAATCTCACAAAATTTATAAAAATATAATATTAACAAGAGAATAATTATTTTAGTACTTAAAATTTATAAATTTTCACATGATGTGTATATATATATATATTTATACATATATGTATGTATGTATGTATGTATATACTAGTTTACATTACATAAAATCATATTTATTATTWATAAAATAAATAAATTGTTTACAAAATATTGAATATAATCTTAAATTGAATCTATCAAATCTACTAATCTACATTTATACCAAAAAAATATTTTTAATTAGAAAATTATAGAAATAAAAATATAATAATCGAATAATCATTTTAAAAGTTAAAAAGTATGAATTTGCATATGATATGTATCTTAGAAATTTTAATAGATTTGATATATTTTAAGTTGAGATTATACATTTTATAAATTATTAATGGATATCTTAATTTACATAGACAATTAGTAAAAATAGTAAAATAAAAAATAATTGATATAATAATTAAAATATAATAGGAAAATATGTTTTGTAGTTTGGATTTTTGATTGATACATTATCAATAAAATTGTATGATATCTATGCATCATATTATATTAATTGTAATACATTTTTTTCATATACACCATTAAAATATACATTTTCTATATATTTATAYATTATTTATGATTATTTGACCTTAAATTTAATATTATTAGTGTATTATGAATTTTATGTGTTACCCTAGTGTATCCATATTTTTCGTCCGTATCCATACCCGTATCCAAGTTGTCCAATATGATACTTGATACCAATACTTTAATACTTGGTTTTGGGATTCTACAACCTGCACATTACGGGTGGGGTATAGTATTAGGATAAACTTGACCCCCCTCAACCTACWTATTGTTGGAAAGCATATAAACTTCATGTACTAGGTGTTGAATTTAATAATATTTTGAATTAGATGTAAAGGATAATTGATAGTTTATTTGTTATTTTACATCTTAATCAAATAATTGGAAACTTTGTTGTTTATTTATGTCATTTTACTTATTTATTGCTTTTATATAACAAGAGATAATAGGAAATTAGATGCAGGTTTTAAACCTAACTCACCCCTACCCTTGAATATAGGGAGGGTTTTGCATTTTCATGTGCGGGGATGGTTTGAATTCTCAAAATCCAACCTGCTTGGCAGTTAGAGTCTAGAATTTACAAAACCCTCATTGAACCTATTCTATTGCCATCCCTGCTCGAGCTAGGCTTGAGCTTGGGCATAATGATCTTTGTAGCTCAATTTCCAAATAGAATATACTGATAATATATATTGTAAAATGTTAGACAAACTTAAATTATATTAGATGAATACTCGAGGCCTCAACGTAAGCTCAATCTAAGTTTAGGTTTTTATTTTTTATTTTTAACTCAAAAAGCTCAAAAACTCAAATCCAACTTGTACAAAAATTTTAATTAAATCAAGTCGGACTTGAATTGAATACATCCAGCTTGCACCCCTGACTAGATTGTTTGAAATTGTTTTAATAAAGCCCTTACATCGCACAGATACTTGCTAGTAATTGTTTAAAGTTTTATTAATGTTATCATTCAACTCTATGCGTTAATATTTAACTATTTCTTTGTTGATACCAGGATTCCAGGAAAATGATTAACATTTATTAAAGTGATTATGTTGATTCCACTCGCTTTATTATTTAATTGTGCATACAGCAACATCCTTTATACCGACATTAGTACCATACAATATGAATTTAGTGAGGCTAAATATTATAATCTGCATTAATTTGTTAAACCTAAGAGCAAGATTCTTTTAAAAAAGGCAGGCCAAAGGCAAAAGCAAAAGCTTATTTCGTCAGGAATGAAATGTTCCAACTTCCAGTCGCCCCTCGCCCTCTTTCTCATTCACACACTTCTCTTCTTCACTCACATTTCCTCGACTCCTTTACGCCTACTGTATGTTTTGTTATTTGATTTTCAGTGTTGATCTAACACCCATTTCTTTCTCATCAACCCTTTTGGGCTATTACCAAGAACCCATCTCCAAATCAATCTCTTTGCTCCAAGACCCCATGGGATTTGGAGAAAGCCCATGAAAAGGAGAAACAGAGAAATGGGTCTTATGCAGAAAAGGTTCTGTCTTTCATTTCTAGCGGAATCTCCAGATCTGTGGACTTAAATCCCATTCATAGAAGCAGAAAACGAGTTTGAGTAGTGGGTGTTTATTATTCTTTCTCATTGTATCTAATTTTAGAAAAAAAATGGCGATTTATCTCTATTTCTAGTAGGAGATTGGAGGATTTTTAGCGGATTTGGCGGGAGTTCGTTTGAGCAGAGATATGATTCAGCTATTATTTTTGGTTCTTTTTGCCGAAGGCATTGTAGCGTTTCTTCTAATGGTGAAGATCGGGCCTTTGAGGGACCTAGTGATGAAGGGTATGGACCAACTGAAGACGGGAAAAGGCTCAGCCACATTAAAAACCATTGCTGGCACTATGTCAGTAATCCTCGCATCAAGCATTATCAGCCTCCTTAACATCCAGAACAAGGGAACGAAGCTCGGTACGGTGACACCGATGGATCAAGTCCTCTGGAGATCGCACTTGTTAGAGGCTTCGCTCATGGGTATGGTCTCGCCCCAGCCTGTATTTTTGCTCTTTTCTTTTCTCTCAGTTGGTTTCTCAGGTTTCATTCATGGTAACATTTTAGATGTAAAATATTGCTTTTTCTTCTCTGGGAATTTAGTAGAAACCATGTTGGTTTTTAATACAAGGAATTTAGTAGAAACCATGTTGGTCTCGCCCCAGTTGCACATTGGGAACATCTCCCCATGAATTTAAGATAAATATACAGGAGCTATTGCAGATGGGCTGTTGGATTCTGTGTTCCCAGAGTTTTTGCTTTCAGGATATGAAAATTTGGTCCCCTTAAGCATCTATAACTGCTAAATAAATAGTATTTAAGGCACAATGGCATAGATTTTGTGTTGGCTTCCTTCTTAAGGGTACACAATAAAGGGTCCCTCCATTGATTCAACAATTTCATCACCATATCATAATATTCATACCAAGTAATTGTTTTGTGTTGGCTTGAAAAGGACTTGGGTTGTAAGTAATAACAAATGATTATTTATCAAAAAAAAAAATAACAAATGATTTGGCCCATAATTTAACCATGGATATGACACTGAGCAGAAAGTATGTTTTTGAAAATACAGTGCAATAAGAAGCTATCAATTTTGAACAAATACAGGTCTGTTGAGACTATGTTATAGACTTGAGCAAAAAAACTCTAATGTTATTTTTATAATATTTAACAGAACTATTAATAACATACCTTGTTGATGGTATTTCACTATTGTCTTCCATTGCCAGCGATTCTTTTGGTGTGCACATGGTATTTGAATATCAAGAACATCTAATTTGGACTTAAAATAATTCAGGAACTAACATAGTTTTATGTTGTTCTCAGTAATATATTGAATCACCATCCCCTTATATAATGGTGTGTCATAAAAAAAATGTCAAGTTTGTACAATTTTCTTTTGATTGGAAAGTTAGAATTAGTATTTAGTAGGTTTGTGGGTGATAATGTGTTTCACATCTTGGCACCTGGGTATCAACATCCCCAAGATTCTCTAAGTTGTCAAGGCGTAGAGGAAAGAACTTTTCTAGAACTAGCTAAATTTTTGAAATTGATCAAGCAATTGAGCAAGTATTCTCTCTTTCTCTCTCTCTCTCTCTCTCTCTCTCTCTCTCTCTCTCTCTCCCTCCATAGCTAAAGTCTGTCTAACCTCATAAGGAAGATTTACAAAAAGGTCATTCTTTCCACTTGCTCTGCGCCATTCTTTTCTAGAGCATCAGCACATCCATTTACTAACCTAAAACAGTGCTGTAACATTATCTCCTAGTTTCTGTTCAGCAGAGCCAGCAGTTCTTGGAATAAATGGATGAACTTCTAGTTGTGGCATGTTCAGTTTTGTAGAGCAATTTTGGTTGATAGTGAGCCTGATTGGATGATGACCAGGCCTTCAAGGATTACAAATAGTTCCAGCTACAGCAATAGTGGTGATTCCCACATGGATAGAGTACCCTCCTTGCCTATGTCCCAGCATTTCTTAGAATAGTTCTTTAAGTTTCTGTTAACCCTCTATAAGCTTATCCCAGCATTTTGTTTAGGGAGAGTGACTGATCAGTCCAGGTCAGAATTTTTTAGCCCCACCATACAGGGGGGGGGGATGAATCCTGACCATGAATTGATGCCAAATTCACAGCAGGATGCGGTTTATAGGGGGGGGGCTACTTGTAGACTATGGGGGGCTGTCATTCAGAATTCTGCATTGGGTTGCAGTGTACACCCTTTTGTTTATCTATGTACTGTAGTATCTATTTAACATCCCACCAAAAATTCTGGTAAATTTCACATAAATACTAGGAGATGGGTTATGTCAACAAGATGACATTTATCTGAGGGAAAAATACATATTTTATCATTAATCATAAAAGCAATTAAAGTATTTTTCAGACACATGGGACAATTTATCCATTGAAGCTGAAGCCTTCAAGATAATATCCAAGTCCTCAGGAAAAAGTGACTGCTTTTTCAAATGACCAACACACATAAACAAAATGTTAAGAGATGATGACTACTTTTGCAGTTTCTCCTCTACTGCAGAATTTTGTTCATCGTCTGGGCTTATTGATGAATTAGCACTTCGTAGTGCTTCATATGTTAAGAGATGCTGATTGCTTTTGCAGTTTAAACTCTACTGCAGACTTTCGTTCTTCTTCTGGGCTATAGATGATGAATTAGCTCTTTGTATCGGCTTCATTTCCTGCTATAAGTATGTGATGCATTATATTTCACAGAATATTGGATGAGATCATTTGGCCTGATGAGCCTCATATCCAAAACCATGGGGTGACAAACCTGCAGGATATTGGCATGTTGCTGGAAGACCTTAATACTCATTATTAATCCAATTGTTGTTGGAACCATTGATGACTAGTCGATATAATTTTTTTTTAAATTTTTGTTAAATCATATTTATCCCAAGTTCCAAAATTTAATTTTGCAGGTTGCTCCTTATTTCTTGGATTTGTAATTGATCGCATACACCACTATCTTCAAAAACTAATTGCGTTGAGGACTGCAGCCAGATCTTCCAAAAAGGAGGTTGAGAAGCTCCAGATAGAGCACATACAGCTCAAAGAGAAGGAAGAAAAAGCTTCCTATGAAATAAAGTTACTTCAAGAGGAAATTTCTAGTCTAAAAGAAAATCTGAAGAATCTAAAACTACAATCTGATGAGAAAGATAAACAAATAAAATCTGCGGAATCTCATGTCACTGCACTTGAGAAGCAAACTGAGGACCTACTTCTTGAATATGACCGCTTATTGGATGACAGCCAGCATCTTCAGGCCCAGGTTGTAGGATATAGGGGTTGAGACAGTGGTGGGATTTCGTCCATTTAAGCCAAGGGTTTAAGTTTGAATGCTGATACTCTCGATCCAATCTCTCCTTGATTGCATTGTAAGTTTGGAGCTTGTACAGATCAGCAACATTTATGGGGGGGTGTTTGGAGGTGAAGGTGGGTGATTCCTTTTGCAAGTTTTTGAAAATTTATGAAAACAAGCACCAAGAGCATGGCATAGCCAAATTGATGCTTACTTTGTTGAAAAGGTTCATGAAAAGCAAAAGTGATCATATTTTGATGTGAAGAAACAAGGTATATATGGATGATGTTCTCATTGTTTCTCTTTATATTGATGACTTGGTTTTTCTTGGAAACAATATTAAAATGATTGAACATTTCAAAAATGAAATGATGAAAAAATATGAAATGAGCGATATGAGACTGTTACATCACTTTCTTGGTATTGAAATTTATTAAGGTGATGATGGTGTATTCATTTGTCAAAGCATGTACGGTGAAAAAGTTCTAAAAAAATTCAGAATGTTTGGATGTAAACCTATAGCTACTCCACTGGTTGTCAATGAGAAATTAATGAGGGAAGATGATGGTAAAAGGTGAATGAAACCTTGTATAGAAGCTTGGCTGGAAACTTATTTTATCTCACTGCTACAAGGCCAAACACCATGTTTGCTGCAAGTTTACTATCCAGATTTATGAACAGCCCCAGTCACATTCATTTTGGAGTTGCAAAAAGAGTGCTAAGGTATGTGCATGGCACCATGGATTATGGAATTAAATATGACAAAGGAAATGAAGCAAGATAGATTGGTTTTTGTAATAGTGATTGGGGAGGATGTGCTGATGACATGAAAAGCACCTCCGGTTATTGTTTTTCCTTTGAAAGTTGTGTGTTTTCTTGATGCTCAAATAAGCAAAAATCAGTGGCTCAATCTTCAGCAGAAGCAGAGTATGTTTTTGCCTCAATGGCAACATCTCAAACAATTTGGCTTAGAAGAATTATGGAATATATTAATAAAAAGCAAGAGAATGCTTTGGTGATCCATTATGACAACAAATCTGCCATTGCTGTGTCAAAGAACCCATGCTATCATAGTAGAACCAAGCATATTGCTCTCAAATATCACTTCATTCAAGATGCCATTGAAGATGGAGAAATTGAACTAGTGTATTGTAGGACCCAAGAGCAATTAGCTGATATTTTCACCAAGCCATTAGCAAGAGAAAAGTTTAAAGAATTTAGAGAAGCATTAGGGAGATTGGCTTCAGTCAATGCAAGGCCCGTTCGAACAGCCTTTACAGCCTTGCATTAAGAACATTTTCGTACTTCTGTGCTTTATTTCATGGGGAGATATTCCCAATGCAAGGCTATAATGACTGTTGGAACGGGTTCTGCATTGACTGAATCCAGTTTCAGCACTAGGAGTCCAACAACAACACATTAAGGGGGAGAATGTTATAGTTAATGTGCTAGAAAGTTAAATATTTTATTTTTTATTTGTCTTTTTCTACGGCATGTAAAATGTAACTTTAGTTAGGTCTCATTCTACTTTTTGTAAACTTGGGTTAGTTGTAAAAGTGTACAAAAGAAGCTTMTATTTGGCTTGCTTAGAAAGCTATCTTCTAGTATTACTCTTTGCAAGAAACCAGAATACGTATGAAGAAGATTTTCAGAAAGCTATCTTCTATTCTCCACTTTGCATGCACCCACAGTTAGCTAAAACTACAGCCAACACCTAATAAAGCTCAGTTCAGTTTCATCTTCACTCTTCAAGTCAAGACCTTTGTTCATCTTTCTCCCTCTCTCTCTCTCTCCATCAACCATAAGGTTCATAACCAACCTCCTCTATGTTTTCTTCTAAAATAGAAGTCACTACCATTGCCGACTAGTTTGAAACTCCCAACGGCTAATTCTAGTAAGCCCTCTAAAACATAGATTTATTTTGTTTTCATTACTGTATTTCCAAGGTTTATACTTATTTTGTCCTGATTTTAATTTCCCCATTTTTTTTTTCTTTTGGAGCAGCAAGTAAACTTAGAGAACAAAAGTTGTAGTCTTACAGAAAGAGGTTTCATCCGTGAACTACACATAGAAAGATAGGTATGACCCTGTTCTTCTATCTATTCATAGTTTCACTTCCACTTGGGGATTCAAGTCTCTGATGGGGAACCCATCCCCATTGGGTGTTGGGGATGGAGGACCATTTCTTTCTCGACGGGGATCGGGGATGGGATGGGGGATGTTTTAGAAATTGGGGTCGGAAATGGGAATGTAGTCCCTTCCCCGAACCCACCCCATTGCCATTCATAAGTTGCACCCTACTTCAAACCACTCAATCTAAAACTACTGAAACTAAAATCCATAGAAGCAATCCTTATAACGATGAGAACTCAACTATAAATAGTCATCACCTCCCCTCTTCACAAACCATCTCAGTGTAAGTACATAGAGTTAAACATTACAAAACCCATAATAAAGGTCATGTCCACTACCGAAACATTGGTGTGATCGTGTGCCCGAGAATCAGAATCGCAAATCTACATATCTTAAGAAACTCAGAGCAAATATACACCAAAGTCTATGATGTGCACAAAAATACTAAAGTTTGTAATRTGCAAAGAAATACCAAAGTTTGTGATGTCGCTTACGACACCACACTGCCCTTCCAATAGGTATCAAATTTCTCCAAATGAACACTCAAGTATACCACATAGCAAGTGATAAATTATAGAAAATTGCAATGCAGCACTAAGACACATTCGCTGCCCTAAACACATTGCTGTCTAGTCCAAAATCATAAGATCCGCTAAGGTAACAATGCAACACCGCAATACTCTCACATCACAGCACCGTGACACTCGCATCACAGCACTTGTGGATGCCGCTACAGGAGGGATCATGTCATACAACAATGAAAAAGTTTCTAGAAGGGGCTATAGTTGCAAACACACTCACATGAGGACTCTAAAGACGGGATTTCCTAATCTCAAGGGATTCTCATGGACACGTGATGAAACCCCGAGTCTCTAACTTGTTAAGCACCTAACGAATTTTAACTACCTCCCCACAATGGGAAAGTTTCCTTGGTCTCTCCCTTGCTCTCCTCTCAAACCCTAGCCTTTTATCTATATAAGTAGGAAAGGATCATATCTTTCCAGAGAGGAGAGAACCCTCTTAGACTCCCATGTAAGACACCACTCTACAACCCTAACCCTAGGTTTTTTTGCTACATCTTTTCTCCCTTTCCTTTCTCTTCATCGCCATTTTCTTTGGACCTTCGGAGACTTGACTAACCATCGATCGGAGTCTATAGCACCTACACCCAAGAAAGTCCAAATGATCCCAGAATCAAGTTGATTCCAAATTCAAGTCATTAGAGACCTTTTTTCCTAGATTCATGTCCTTCTACCTATTCCATGGATCCCTTTTTCATTCAAGGCATTCAATTTTCTTCCATCTCATCCCATCTTTCTTTTACCCATCCAATCCAAGGCATTCCAAACCTTCTAAATATTCCATTGATTTAATTTTATTCTCAATTCATCTTAGTCTAACTCCCTTAAAACCTCCATGTCCTTCTCTCATTGTTTGTTGTTGTCTCACAACTTCAATTAAAACCTCAAATATTGGCACCTATTTGAAGTTGTTAAACTCTACACGTGGAATATTACAATTTTAATCAATTCAAATCTATTAAAAGTATTCCTCCTATAGCTATAAACAAATGCTCATCATGGGTACAGAGGGAAATTGAACTCCCTATCTCTTTTTTTTTTTCCTTATTTTTAACCTTCGTACATTTATAGACATTCATTGATGAGGCTAAGAAGCCATTTCTATGCATTTATAGAAGAAGCAACTCCATCGGCAAGTCTGGTTTAGGCCTATGTTCCATAGCTTGGGAAGTTCTATATATCCAAGTTAAATGCCTTCTCTATCAAGTGTGTGCATTCAGAAGATTTGGTTAAATATTGCATATATCCACTTATCTATATCACAACCATTGTTTTCGTTTTTCAAAGATCTTTTGCTAGAACAAGCTCAAACACGCTATGCATATTCAGCCACAACTTGTTGGGGAGGGGCGGAGCCAGGGGGTGGTAGAGGGGAGCCATCCCCCCCCCTATGCCTTCAAAATCCCCATAGTAGCCACTTAAATCTCACATATATTTTGCCCCTCCTACCCATGTTTCTTATCTTTTGTCCCCCATCCATGTTTATTATACTTTGGCCCCCACCAATAAAAAAATCCTAGCTCCGCCCCTGTTGTTAGGTGTGGGTTCAATCCATATGAGTGGCCTACTCCACTAATACTTGCCTACAAAAGAGGCATATTAAGTAAGCAAAAAAGGTTTTGGCTTGACTAAGTCATTCCAGACATTCCAGCCATTCCATATTTATATGATAAATATATAATATTATACATGTGTTTGAATGTTTTTTTTTCAAAACTGTATGTATTTTTTATTTTTATATTTTACATTTTATTAATTTTTGTTATTTATTTATGATATTAAAGTTTAATACATTTAACCCAAAAGTTGCACTATTTATTATTAATTTTTATATTTCATTTTTGGTCAGTTTTAAATTATGTATTTTATTTTCATTATCAATAAACTAATTATTTTTATTACATTTATTTTTTAATTTGATTACATAAATGTGTCTAATTTTTCTACATTATTTTTGCAATTTTATGTTTTATTTCTATTTTAAAAAATTTATTACCTACTATGACTTTGTACATTGATCAATTTGATTCGGATGGTTGAATTGCTTAACCACCACTTGGATAACAATGGTTTTGTTTTTTCGTCAATTTTAAAATATATGGATTTAAACTGTTAAAAAATATTGACATAGATCTAATTAGTAGCATTTGTTAGTGAAAAATAACTTAAAAATATAGGATTTAATAAGAGAAAATGGGATTTAATACCTTAAGTGTAAGACTTAATTAGAGGAGATCAAATGAGGTCGAAAGTGATAATTGAAGTTATATTTTCAACCCTTACAATTAGATATGGACTAAATATACAAATATGGATATTTTAGTAGCCATTAAAGCTGACGTTAAAGCTAAAATAAAATGACTTTTATTCCCTTTCTCAAGCAAAGAAAATAGAGAGTAATTTTAGTCCAACAAACGTATAACTATGAATGTATTGTGGAAGTTTGTTATAAGTATGAATGTATTCGGATATCCCTAGTCCGAATCTTTGAATCGGGTCAAATCGAATAATAGGATCAAAAAGAAAACTGGATGGAATTCGAATCACTCCCTATCCGATTTGATATATATATATATATATATATTGCATTTTGTAAATTTGTTATTTTATTTATTTTTTTTATAAAAAATGTATATATATGATGAAAATAGTTGAAAAGATGCTTTTATTTTTTGTTTTTTATTTAAATTGTGATATTTTAATTTTCTTTTAATATTTTATTATTATTTAAATTAATTTGGAATGGATTAGATCTAAATGTCTAACTTCCTCATCAGATTCATATTCAAATCCATGTTTATAAATGCAATTGGATCTACTATTAACAGTATTGGATCATATTCGGATATACCCTAATTTGAATCCGATCCAATCCGTTTGCATCAATACCAAGTAGGTAGGCTTCTCAATGATACCTGGAAGGCTAAAACTTCATAACTCAATCCAATTACCACATATTTGGATGAAGTGTTTATGTAATCAGATTTCAATTTTGTAATCTACATCCGATTAATAATAAAAAATATAAAATATACAAACAAAAAAACATAAAAGTTTATAGAAAATTTTGGATATACTATTACTATCATTATCATCATCTAGAATTATCAAATTTAGTAATGCTTTAAATTTGAAAACAAACAAAGGCAAAACTGTTATTTTACATCTTCATTTAGTTATGCTTATTTGATTAAAAGACACAAAAGTACTTCTTTTGTTTAGCAATTAGAAAATAAGTTATGCCAAAAATGTCATTTTACAATTTTCATTTAATGCTTATTTCTACTATTATTAAAAGTGTGAATAA